TCCGGCTAACCTGATAGATGACCCTGTTGAAGCATAAGTCTATAGATGGTATCTGAAGGCGACCCGGGCAGCTGACACGATCACTCCCAAAGCCCTCTCTGCTCCAAAGCTCACGCTGCCCTTTGGTATACCAACAGGTTGTGAGCTATGAAGTTATTAAGGAGACAATTAGAGAGTAGGTGGAGAAAAGATAAGATGGCACAAAATAAAGCTGCAGTTAAAACTATAGCCAATAAATATGCTAATGCCCTTAAATGGCCAAGAAAGACCTTTAACATCTCGAGGACTGGTGAGGCTGCAAACTCACACGTGGAAGTGTTCTGGGTGGTCCATGACTTTACCAGTTCTGGCCATTCAAGGCCTTGTTTTGAGTTCACTAGTGATCAGTTTGCAGTCTTAGAGCAAAAATTGAGGCCATTTGGGCCGACCTTGACTCCAACTGCAGCCTAGCTGATACTGTTGCTGTTGAATTTCCAATTGCCCAGTTGGTTCAGTTTGACCCTGTAATAAAGGAGGAAGCCTCTAGGGCAGTGACAGCGAACCTTTTTGGGCCCAAGTGCCCAAACTGAAAAAACAAACAAAAACCTGGTGGGCAGCAGCAGAACCGGAAGTGGTGGTGGAGAAAGTGGAAGTGGCAGTGGAAGGGGGAATCCCAGGCACGGAGATGCCTTGAGACCTGACTCTGGAACCAGCACCAGCTGCTCTGGATCCTGGCCCACCGCCTGTCAAAATGCCAGCAACGTGGCTGAAGCCGCTTCCTCAGGTTTGCCTGCCGGGGGGAGGAGAATCCAGCGGCTTATGGGTCGCGTGCCTGCGAGAAGGCTCTGTGTGCCAGTCATGGCACGTGTGCCATAGGTTCACCATCGCTGCTTGTAGCAGGCCACTCTCAAGCCCTTACTCATCCAGGCCTATAAGAGTGCTCACTACCCCTCACCAAAAACTTGCTGCCACCAACCTATCCTTTAAATCAAAAGGACAAGGGTTTCTTTTCAAAACAAATAAAGTATTTATTGATTACAAGAAATAAAAGGAGTAAATCACAGGTATAAATCAATTATTCAATCACTGTTTCTCAGACACTAGCTCACACAGACTTTTCCCTCACTGACAGGCTCTTTCTCACTCTCAGTCAATCTCTTTTAATTACTCCTCTCTCAAACTCTGATCCCTCCAAACTCCTCACACACACCTTATATAACCCAGCTCCTCCCACTTCTGCACCACCCTCCGTCCTCTCATTGGCTGAGGTTCCCCTGCCCAGCTGTGACGGACAGGTGAGAGCAGAGCTGAACGCCACACTGTTCTTCTTTGGGTGACAGCTGTAGGCCCATGGCCTCTTCCCTGGATCCTTGCCCAACATGACTGATCAGATCCACGAAGCTTGACCCGATTGATTGGGTCGTGAGCATTATTAATTCATCACTGAAAGAGGAAATGCTTCCCTCCCATTTAAAAGAAACCATTGTCCGACCTACCAGCAAACACCCCCAGTTAGTGTCAGACAACCTTAACAATTTCCATCTGATTCCTGGGCATGGTGATTGAGAGGGTGGTGGCAAATCATTTGCAGTCATACCTGGAGGAGCAGGATTGCCTTGACCCATTCCAGTCTGGATTCAGGCTGTGACAGGGTACTGAGAAGACAATGGTCATGCTTCAGGATGACCTTCTGAGGGAAGCTGATGGGCAGATGCACCCTATTGGTACTCCTAGATCTCTCAGTGGCTTTGGATACTGTTGACTATGGTATCCTCCTGGACAGGCTCTCTGAGGTTGAGATTGGGGGCTTAGCGCTGAGGTGGCTCCAATCCTTCCTTGAGAACTGTGTCCAGAGAGTTCAGCTAGGGATGGAGGTGTTGGCACCTTGTATGGGGTTCCTGAGGGATTGGCAGTATCCCCGATGCTCCGTGTTAAGCTGTTGTGGGATGTCATCAGGAGACTTGAAGAAAGGTGTCATCAGTATGCTGATGACACACAATTCTATCTCTCCATTACCACCTCTGCGGTGGGTGCTGTTCAGATGTTTGAACATTGCCTGGTTGCAGTGCTGGAATGGACCAGGGCTAACAGGCTCAAACTGAATCCGGACAAAACAGAGATTTTGCTCCTCAGATTCCCCTCCAATAGGTTAGGGTGGATGGTCCCTAGGCTGGATGGCTGACTTAGGGACCAAGTGTGTAATTTGGGCATCTGAGGAAAGTTGGTAGGAGACCCCTGATATAATCTCTTCAGGCTGAAGAAGCTACTTGGATGAGTAGCAAAACGTTTCAGCCTCTTTTAAGAAAGAAGTCCAGTTGCCATGACTCAACTTCCAGATAACCTCACCTGGATGACTGAGAATTTTCACAGATAAACCATCCAATACTTCTAATTCTTAGAGGTCCACGAAACAAATAATTTTGCATTATTTTTATAAAATCAGTCCTATATACTGTATATGAAAAAAAATTCAGATGTTGCACTCATCAAAAGAAACTCTCTTGATGGCATTGCTCTGGTGAGAGCCCTGATCCATGATGGCTTGAAATAAGGTCTTTACTTCTGGAACATCTGAGCCTTGTGGTATAGTGGCTAGACTGTTGGATTAGGACTCAGAAGACTTGGGCTTCAATCCCCATTCAGCTATACAACTCACTGGTGACCACTGTGAACTTGACCAACCACACAGGGTTGTTGTGAAGATAAAATAGAGAACAGAATCATGCTACTGTAAACTCGCTGGAAAAAAGGCAGAGTATAAATGTAACTATGGAATGGTGTCAATAATTATCATTTAACAAATTGATAATTCCTTCCCAGTTCTAATTAAAAAAGGCAATGCCTTTTCCGGGTTTCTATCACCTACTGCTTCAGCAGATTCTCTCAGAAGATTTTTCTTTTTTCCCACTTAGGTCTTTTGATCTTTGTATTTCATTTCATTCTGATGTACTTCTATGTTGCTCCAAAATTTTATAACCTAAGGTAGAGATAAAGGTTCCCCTTGACATTTAGTCCAGTTGTGTCCGACTCTAGGGGGTGGTGCTCATCCCCATCTTCAAGCCGTAGAGCCAGTGTTTGTCCGTAGACAGTTTCTGTGGTTACGTGGCCAGCACGACTAGACTAGCAATGCCATTACCTTCCCACCAAGATGGTACCTATTTATCTACAGTGGACCCTCAACTTACAGAGGGCTCAACTTACAGACTTTTCGAGTTACAGACTTCTCTGGCTGCAAAATTTAGATTCGACTTGCAGCCAGAGAATCGACTTACAGACCAGAAAAAAACCAAAATGGAATAAAAATAGAATAAAAACCACTGGTTATGGGATTAATTGGTTTTCAGTGCATTGTAGGTCAATGGAGATTCGACTTACAGACTTTTCGACTTGCAGCCACCATTCCAGTACGGATTAATTCCTTAAGTAGAGGGTCCACTGTACTCGCATTTACATGCTTTTGAAATGCTAGGTTGGCAGGAGCTGGGACAAGCGACGGGAGCTCACTCCGTTGCATGGATTCGATCTTACGACAACTGGTCTTCTGACCTTGCAGCACAGAGGCTTCTACGGTTTAACCTGCAGCGCCACCACATCCCTGCAATCTAAAGGGATTCATAAAAATCAATCTATCAAAATTGTAAAAAAATATTTCTGGTTTTCTCTTAGCTAGGAGTGAGGAATAAAGGAGCTATGCAGAGCATACAATTTAACCCTTTGATCAATAGGAAACATTGAAGTCCTCTCTGCTCTACATCCTCATCCAATTAATTTTCACTGGCTGCTGTCCATATGTCTCTAAATATTATGTTATCAAATGTAAAAACTGAGACTGTCCTTTTATGAAAGCTGTCATGTCTGAAGTGGAACTTCGAATGCTTCCTATGTTCCTTAGTATTCAATAACTAATTGTTGTTACTCACTGCAGTGTTGAAAAAGGAACTTGTTCTGCTCTTAGTTACTTTCCCATTATTTGTGTTACTTAATAATAACAATATTTCAGAACTGTTATTTCAGAATTACATTATATTTACAATATTACAATTGCAATATTTCAGAATTACATTAACTTGAGCAGTTCCTGTTTAGGTGCCTCAATGCCTTAAAGTGCCCTTTCAAAGTAACTAGAAAACAGCACTTGTTATACTTGTTATTGAACTAATTTTGTTCCTACCCGTTAAGTTATTTTTAAGTGTAACTGTGACACTCTTGTACCCAGAAGTAACTAGTTTTTGGTAACTATAGTTCTATATACAGTAGAGGTTAAGATAACCACTGTTCTGGAGCATCCATCATTCTTGCTTTAAGTGGAATATCTACCCCTGCACCTTTTATCATTGCTTCCTTCATACTTAGTGTTAAGTCTGAAAAAAGAGGTTCCTGCTAACATATAGGCCCAAGCAAAACTAGATTTTAAAAAGATTTTTCCACTCATGCGGGAAGCTTATGCATGAGCAGGAACTTTTCCTCTTCAGACATGGTGCTGAAAGTATGCAGAAAATTATGACAGTGCGGGTGGAGCGGGACCATTCCCTTTAAGTATGTTCAGAACAGTTGATTCTATAATGCCCAAGTGGAGCTTAATATTTCTTGCAATTTATTAATTCCAAGCTGAAGTCTGAAGATACAGTCAGCTGTCGTGCTGAACTGCAAGATAAAGTCAGAGAAACCTGAGTGATTTGTGCTGAGCGTGCCAAGTTCAAATCTCCACTTAGTCATGAAGCAAACTTGGTGAGATGGGTAGAAGCAAAGAATGGAAGTTATTTTGGGGATTACTGTTGTCACCATCCAAGCCCTGGATATATGTCATTTTCATCTTAACCCACACCAGGCATTTCTGTGGGGGTAAAATGAGAAGAACCCTTTGTACCACCTCAGGCTCTTTGGAGGGAAGGGGCAGACATAAATGTAATAGTGATGCAATGGTTGCTCCAAATGTGAACACAATGAACAGATTTTCCGTGGCTGAAACACTGGCAACTACAGTAGTGCAGAATGATACATAGGTATATTTTTGTTTTCAGGAAGACTATGATCGCTTGAGACCACTATCATACCCCATGACTGACGTATTCCTCATCTGCTTCTCTGTGGTAAATCCAGCTTCTTTTCAGAATGTGAAGGAAGAATGGGTGCCAGAACTAAAGGAATATGCACCAAATGTACCATACTTGTTAGTTGGAACCCAGGTAGGTCTGAGTGTTACATTTATTTATTTATTTATTTATTTAACTAACTTATATGCCGCCCACATTACCTGAAGATCTCTGGGTGGCTTACATTTAAAATACAATTAAAAGGCAAAATAAAAGGGCAAATAATTAAAATGCAATTAAAACTATCATGTTTTGTGTAAAGCCTTGAGGAGAAACAGCCTTTCTTACCACCAGCCCCAACTCCGTCTTTTTACCTCCCTGCCTTCCCTCTCTTCTGCTATTCCATTTTAAGCCTTGTTCTTCCAATTACCTGTATTACCCAAGCATTGCTGCCAAAAAGTCGCTTACCTTTTCAGTTGACTTTGTTCTCTCTCTCTTGCTGTTCTTTTGAATCCTTTCTCCTCCCCACCACAAAAGATTTGCCTAGAGGTATATTTGTTTTCCTTGATGCACCTTTTCTCATGAACTTGCCAACTTAACCTCTTAGCTACTATTCACCACTGCAATGAAGCTGAATATGTGTAACATCTTTTGTTCACCTTCATCCTGTATTTTTCCCTTCATTCTCATCTACTTCCTCAGTTCACCCTCTCATGTATCGGAATGTGCACTGTGAGCTTCTTGGGGCACGAATCTGTCCCGTTTGTTTATGATAGGTAAAGGTAAAGGTTCCCCTTGACAATTTTTGTCCAGTCATGTTCGACTCTAGGGGGTGGAGCTCATCCCCATTTCCAAGCCATAGAGCCAGCGTTTTTGTTCGAAGACAATCTTCCGTGGTCACATGGCCAGTGCGACTTAGACACGGAATGCTGTTACCTTCCCACCGAGGTGGTCCCTATTTATCTACTTGCATTTGCATGCTTTCGAACCGCTAGGTTGGCGGGATACTCTGGCTAATATGCTTGTGGGTTACATGATAGGCACACAAGTGGCACCAGCCACAACTGCTTCTGCAAATTGAGCTCTGTTTATGGTAAAACTCAAGAGGGTTTTGACCTCTATAAATTACTATTTCTGTAAGTGCAAGAAAAAAACCCTATTATTAAAGTTACTGCCCTGCAGCATTTCTATTCAGGGTGCTAGTGAGCCAGCCATGTTATTTTCCAGGGCATTGAATTCCATTTCATTCCAGTCTTCATGCCCATTTTCCATTCACACTTATCCCATGCAATAACCACTCACCTTTCTGTAGCTATTGGATGTGTTCAGTCCTCAGTAAGTTCTTTTTTGGGGGCACTTCCTCCTTAGGTTTTCTTTTCGTTTCTCCCCTGCATCTTCAAAATGTGGATTTCCCCTAAAACTGTCAATATTTCACTCTTATGCCTGGAAGGTACTATTTTTGGCTTTGTAAGGATCCATACTTAAAAGACCAAGTTTGTTGTTGACATGTTGTAGCAATACCCTTGTTAGACCAGGTAAAAAGGCACAAATTTCCTGTCTGAAGCTTATAACATAAAAAAACCTTGTTGGACAAGACATAATAAAAAGGCAAATATAGAAAAGCTTGGGGGGGATGTAGTCTGCATTCTGTTTTAAGGTATAATGGGGAAGATGTTGCAGATGTTACAGAAGGGCTTTTCAGGCATTTGATTACATGGTAAATGATCCTAGTTTTGCTAGGAACAAAAAGAGCATGAAAAGCAAACAACATCTCCATTTTGAAAATACAACCCCCTCATAACCCAAAACTGTCTCTGTCCAGTGCAAAGCTAGCAGCTTTGCAGAAGAAATCTTTCTTACTCTACTGTCAGATCTGGAGATGATTTATTAATATGGAAGATGAAGAGGAGAATGACAACAACCATGATGATGCCTTCATCTTTAACACCACCAGCCGCATATACAGTTAAAGCCATGAAATTTAGAAGCCCTTGGGTGAACAGGCAACTTTACCTTGCTCTATAAGCAATATTCATGGACCTCTGTCCTTAATCATCATCATCATCATCATAATTCTAGCACCTCCATGGGCCCAGGCCTTGTTGAGGCAAAATGTTGTCATCAGAACAATCCCAACCAACACGCTAAAGGAAACAAACCAGCTCATGTATAGCACAGCTACCATAGTAACCATGGAACTTTGTTACAAGCTGCAAAACCCCCAGAAAACTCATGGCACCTCAAAATGAAAGATTTGTCTGAAAAGAAACATAAACAAATTGAGTGCAGACATTACCAACTTCAAACACTTGAAAGACTCAAAACTTAAAAATGAAAAGTAAAAGCCAGACTATGCAAAATATATGATCTAGAAAGGAAAATGATTGTTGGAACTATGGAAGAATTAAAAGAGTGGGTAACAGCTCCAGCAAAGAAAATGGAAATATATGATGGATGCTTGAAACAATATAGAGAAAACAAGCAATTACAAAATAACCAATTATTATTCTATACGTCACTAGGAGAAAATGCAGAGCAAAAGAAATTAGGTCCATGTAAATATGATGCGCGAAAATTTTGGAAAGAAATATGGGAAAGCCCAACCGGGCCTAACAAAAACACCTCGTGGATTAAAGACACTTGTAAAGAAATTCAAGGAAAACAAATGGATGATATTGTAGTAACAACTGAAATGATTAAGAGGCAAGTAAAGGATGTGAAAAATTGGAGTGTACCTGGTCCAGATGAGCTGCACAGATTTTGGTTAAAGCATCTAACATGTCTCCATCAACGTACAGCAATGCAGTTTAACCACTTCAACATTCTACAACTGAAGACTGGATGAAAACAGGCAACACTTTTCTGATAATAAAAGATCATCAAAAGGGCAATGAACCCAGTAATTATTAACAAATTACATGCCTTCCAACAATGTTCACGCTCCTCACAGGAGCACTTACAAGATCTATATATAAATACTTAACTGAAAACTCCCTATACCCAACTGAACAGAAAGGGAACTTTAAAAAGTCAAGAGGCACAAAAGATGAGCTGCTTATTGATAAAATGATCCTGAAGAATGCAAAAAGACAAAAAACAAATCTTAACATGGCCTGGATAGAATATAAAAAGGCATTTGACTCATTGCCACACAGCTGGATTAGCACCTGCCTAAAACTATTTGGGATTTGTAAAAACATTCAGAAGTTCCTCAAGAAAAACATGGAAAATTGGAAAACAGTCTTAATGGCCCATAGTGAAGAAACTGGGGAAGTTAACATCAAAAGAGGAATATTTCAGGGAGATTCTTTTTCACCACTACTATTTAACATATCGCTAACCCCCATGTCAATAATTTAAAATAAAACTGGAGTGAACTACCATATTCCACAACAAGCTAGAAAAATTAATCATCTCTTATACATGAATGACCTAAAACTATATGCAAAAATTTCTACAGAGGTAGAATCAATGCTGAAAACAGTGCAAATATTTAGGGAAGATAACGAAATCAAATTTAGAATTGACAAATGTGCAGCTCTCCTATACTCTGTGGCATGATCCAAAAACTAGATAGAGTTAAAAAACGGCAATATTATAAAATCACTCTCAAGTGCTGAAAATTATAAATAACTTGGAATACTAGAAGCAGACAACATTGTGCACACAAAAGTTAAAGAACTGACAGAAAGAGAATATATTAAAAGACTGCGGCAGCATTACAAGGTTTCAAGTCCAAAATTATTCCAAAGTCCTCTATTGTTTCCCAATTTGGGCAAGTGCTATGCATCGATCAATTGAACAGCTACAATCCTTCTTACGCAAAGCATTAGGGTTACCTAGATGTGTGCCCTACTCAGTGCTCTGTCTGGAGTCCGGTGTATCTTTAATATAGACTGTAGTTTGGTTGAGATTATTCAAATTTTGGTTAAGTATCTATTACAGTAGGTGGAAATTCCACCTACTGTGGGGAGTGAAAGAATCCTGTCTCTGCAGTTCCACTCAGCAGCAGGACCGGTCACCCTCATTAGTGCATATGCACCAACACTGTCGTCCACA